GTACGCCTGAACCAGCAGACTGTTGGTGGTGGTGATGGTGTTGAGGTTGGGTCTGATCGGCGGGGTGGGCGTTTGCGGGCGGGTAGTCAAGCTTGATTTGTGGCGTGTAGTCCTTCTGTGATGCCATCTGACCGTGCGGACTCGAAGTCATACCAGGCATATGCAATTCGTCTGGCTGGCCTCCGTGAGGCCCGTAAGACCCTGAGCCGACCTGCCTTCGGGCTGGAGGCAGCTGCTGGGATTGACTCATCGGCAAGATCTGCTCATTGGCAACTTCTGGAGTGCTTTTGGATAATAAGCCAACCCAGTTTCCAGAACTGCCAGGCGACCCTGCCACCAAGCGATGTTTTTGTTAAGTATGAACTGCTTGTCAGGAGGAAGATGGTTGTGAGGCGCCTATAATGTGATGGACGCGTCTTGATAGGCTCAACCAAATTGATGGGGAAAGGTTGCAAGTTGTGGATTTCGCATCAGGACGGCAAGAAGGTGGCGTCCATGGTGGTTGATCTGCGTGGATGGATTTGGCAAGGCGTTTGCGTGAGGAGGATGAGCTCTGGAACAGGGCTTGTGAGTGAACGCTACGTGTTGAACTCGAGTCAACTGATTTCAATGGGACTGAATTTGTCAAGTTGAAAATACATCTGGCCCGAGCAGGTTAAGTCAACCAAACCAGCAGACCGAACAGAAAAAAGCCCCCATAGCTCGGGCTCGAAAAGCTTCGCGAGTCGAAGAGGGTGAAGATGCCCTGCCATGATCTAAACCCATTCTCCTTAACAGAATTTAGTGTCTAAAAACTACCAATTAAGAAATATATGTGTAAAGTAATGTTCCTTCTCCTGGGCGCCTGGGCATCCTGCACATCACACAGCACTGGGAGATGCTCATCTAAGTAGTTAGCGAGTTTAAATTCAATAGGGATCAATTTGAACGGATGAAATTCATGTACTGCCGTTTGTGGGACCATTGAAATCGGAAGTTCCAGCTTGGAGAAACCCGAGTCTTTTCAGAATTGACCCGTTCATTACACACTCTGGTAAGATCCATGCAGCTTTGCAATTACCTAGGGTCATGCGAAAATTGCATGTGGTCTTTCTCTTCGCTGTAGTTCCAACGAGCCAAAAGTACTTGACTGTTGATCTGGGCGTGCAATTTAGAGATTTGTAATGGCGAATTTGGAATACCGAGAAACAGTTCTCTCTCCAGAAAGGCATAACAGTATTGTATCAACATCAGCCAATAGCTCATACTACGCAGGTAAGTGTTTTACGCTCTGTCGAGTTTATCAAGTTCTGTCTGGTGTCTTTATCAACATAGCTGGCACTGGGAGTTCTTGCAGCCGAGGCAAGTGGCGCAATAAATACCAGAACAGTTGACCAGACCTAACTACCTACTCCGTACCTACGTAGCTGCTAGGGTGTTATGCAGGTGCCCATCACCCACCATATCACCTGTCCCCTCCACTGTCGAGACAAGACCTCGTGAGCAATGCGCGTGCTGGCCAACGCCATTGTTGACTGTCTTACCCCCGCTCCTATTTTCTCTTCTTGATGCTGGATGCTGTACTTATTTGTTGCATTTCGATGTCAGGATAGTTTGCCCTCATCCATGACTATACTTTCTTCCTTTCTTCAGAAAAAGTTGGGCGTTGGAGATGGCAACAACGTCACCGTCTCTCATTGATCGATTGAATCATGCTGCTCGAAGGGCCTCGAACATGTCGTTGACATCACCTGCTTCGCAAACTGCGACCGAATATCAGCTCGAACCGCTAGAATCTCGGCCAAACGAATCATGGCGACAGGAACACGAGAACGGCAGTATCCCCGAGCATGAATCTCCATCTGTCACCTTGCCGTCTAAACGAACGCCCCCACACTCTGCGAACCGAAGAGACGACTCGGCTGGATCATATTCCAAGAGAAAGCCTAGGCTTATGTTTGCCGGTCCGCCACCGCCTATTGCCTCGTCAGTAGTGGTCTCTTCGCGCCAATCTAGCCCGACGCCAGTCACCCTTGAGCGAGGACGAGAGGCCAACGGGCTAATGCGAACATTGGGAAGAAGCATAGCCCAAGCCGTGTTTGACCAGAGGACAAGCCAAGACACCCCATACAGCCTGCAGTCTGATACCACCTGGCGTAGCCTGCGACACCGCCAGAGGGCTTTAGAAAGGGATATTCAACAACTACTGGATTCCCAGGTTGCAGGTTTGGTATCCGGAAGCGAAAACGGAGGTTTGTCGTTGGCCAGTAGAGAGATTGACGTCCACAGCGATACAGGAAGCAGCACGCCAACAGGCACGTTTTACTCCACCGCAACATCAACATCTCAGATGCCGAGGAGCCTGCACATACCTCCAACGTCCACACCAGAAGGAAATATCATACCAGTACGGCAACCTGCGAATAATCGATCCATAGGCCTCAAGTCTGCTCGAAAAGGCTTGCGTAGAGCAATACTATCTTTAGTTGAGCTTCGTGAGGAAGAAATCGACAAAATAAACACAGCAATAGAGGAGCGGAAGAATGCTCTGGCGCAACTCAACACACTCGGAACAAGACGGCTTGGTATACAGGCAAAGATAATGGCGGTGGACTGTGATAAAAATGAGCCATTGGGAAGACAGTTGCGGGAACTGGAGGCAAAGTATAATTCGGTGAATCAAGAGATCGCCACGCTTGATGAAAGGCTTATGAGTCTCCGAAATCAACGACAATGGCTTAAAGAGAAGATGAACGACGCCAAGGGAAAAAGAGAAGCAGGTTTAAGCGGATACCGTGGTGCTTTAAAGGATGTTGATTCAGAACTCGCGTTTCTTGTTCGACGGCCTTCTTTCCTACCCCTTGAATCGGCTGTATTTGGTGCGGATGGCGGCGCTTTAAGCGAGGATGTTGAATCATCGGGTGGTCTTGAATTTTTCCGCCTCATTCCCGAACGTCGCACACCAGAGATGGCCAAGTCTTGGTGGGAGGCTGAACTGGAGATCCTGCAGAGGCGAAGAATACAAGTGGATAAAGATCGCCAGGCGCTAGAGAAGGGAGCAGATGTATGGGACCATGTGGTTGCTTTGGTTTCTGATTTTGAATCAGAGTTGCGACGTCTGTTAAAGGACGGTATCGGTTCATCAGCGCAGACCTCTGTCAAGGGCAAAGAGAACGCAGTTTCGGATGGTGATCTCATACAAGCCCAGTTGGTAAGTATGAATACAGTTCTAGAGGAACTAGAAGAGGCTATGAGACAAGCCGAGGCACGTAGTTGGAATCTCCTTATCTGTGCTATTGGCGCCGAGTTGGAGACGTTCAGGGAGGCTCAAAGTGTACTCGAAAGCCTGTTGCCTTCATCAAATACGGGGAGAGACGATGCAAATCAGGGCATGCCAACTACTAGGCGAGGTTCTCGTGCCACGGATCAACATGGACATTCACAAGGAGACAGTGACAATGACGTCCCGCCAGATCTATTTTTGTCCCACGTTGACGGTACTGACCAATCCAGTATTAAGCAGCTGTATGAAGATAGATCTAGGAGTATGGACGTGAGTGGCGAAAGGCCCCGGAGCCAGGATAGCGAAAATGAAGTCCCGCTCGAGTTTCTAGCTGAGCACGACTGAGACTGAGACGCCATGAGACCCGACAGCGCTCTGTGACTTCTTCTGAATATGTCGTGGCGGGGAGGGGGCACCAGACAGGCGATGCGCTGCCCCCGTGTATCAGTATGAGAGCTCGGTTTGAGCAAGGTCTTATGATAAACCAGTACGGATAGTCCCATAGTGCATACGTGGCGTTGAATGGATATCTGATAAAAATTTAAATAATAAGTAATATCTTCTAGGTACGGCCAACATATAGTGTTACTAGATATCTTACATGAGTACCTGGCCCTCTTTTTTTCTTTCCCCATTAACTTATTAATAATATCTTATTGCTTGAAAAGAAATCAGTTGCCCTCGGTCAGGAATCTGCGTCTAAACAGTCACACTGGTAGAATGACTTGCGGTACATAGCGATGACGTTATATTTGCTTAGGGGGATTGATCACGTAACACAGAAGACGCAAAAAAAAAAAAAAAAAAAAAAAAAAAAAAAAAAAAAAAAAAAAAAAAAAAAAAAAAAAAAAAAATATGTAGCCGAGTATATATTGAACCAGATATTGAGACCTCAGCTTTAAATTTCGATATCTTGCTTCCTTTTGCGCTCTGCTGAGCCCGGGTCCTGAGAAGGGATTGTCGAAAGCCCACATCGACTCATCCACATCAAGTTCAAACCAGCCAACGCGGAAAAACATTAAATGAATGACAAACGCCAGAACCAGGAATTTGACGTGATGATTTGTAAGTCGTTTGCATAAAAGGCCGAGTTATTCTTGACCCAACAGTCCAAGCTGCCTACATGGCCAGCTAAGAGGAAAGTGGCGTACTTGCATGGTACATGCATATATCCCCGATGTATTGACGGAAAACAGCGACCAGGAAATATGCAAGGTTTGGCCGTTGAAACCACTAATTGCTCGCCCAATCTCATCTTCTTCGCTCGAAAAAGCCACTAGACCCTGCAAAGGCGACAGACTGAACCAAAAAAACCAAAAAAAAAAAAAAAAAAAAAAAAAATATGTAGCCGAGTATATATTGAACCAGATATTGAGACCTCAGCTTTAAATTTCGATATCTTGCTTCCTTTTGCGCTCTGCTGAGCCCGGGTCCTGAGAAGGGATTGTCGAAAGCCCACATCGACTCATCCACATCAAGTTCAAACCAGCCAACGCGGAAAAACATTAAATGAATGACAAACGCCAGAACCAGGAATTTGACGTGATGATTTGTAAGTCGTTTGCATAAAAGGCCGAGTTATTCTTGACCCAACAGTCCAAGCTGCCTACATGGCCAGCTAAGAGGAAAGTGGCGTACTTGCATGGTACATGCATATATCCCCGATGTATTGACGGAAAACAGCGACCAGGAAATATGCAAGGTTTGGCCGTTGAAACCACTAATTGCTCGCCCAATCTCATCTTCTTCGCTCGAAAAAGCCACTAGACCCTGCAAAGGCGACAGACTGATCCATCACCCACTCGCCTACCCCGAGATACTTGTCTATCCATCTTGAGACCTCTTTGTTTTCGCCCGCTACCTTTTCTGTCTTGAAACTGGGCCTGGGATATCCCGAAGGGGGAACAAATAAGCCACTTGCAGAGGCACGGTTGCAAGAGTCTGGTGATATGGTACTCACGTCAATCCGGTCGACCGCTTCATGCCTGCCAGAAAGGCAGAAACTTCAATCAAGGATTTGTTTAGCATTGTGTGACGAGTTACCTGCCAGCTGGAAATTGTATCAAGAAGTCCACTTACTAAGGACGGCATCGAAGGCGTAGTGCGTTAAGCGTCCAACCTTTGACCACAGCCCAAACGTCAGCAGGTTGAGAAGCTGTAAGATATATATTCTTAGACAAATGGTGCTAAGAAAAGAAAAGATGCTACGGAGCTTTTTTCGCGATGGCGACAGTACCATCAAGCTTTGTATTACAAAGGGCGACTATACACATACCACCATGATCGTTATCGGTTGGAAACTGGATGTGAAAATGCGACGCTGTAGTCGAGGGCGTGGGGTGAAGTAGATAGCAGAAACAAGTATCGCCCTATCCTGTTCGTTGTGAGTCAAATGCGTCTCTTGTGTGTACTCTCTAGGAGACAGCGATGGAACCGAGATGAGTGGTTAGAGATGGTAAATGTTGACTCGAAGGTGTTTCCTGGTGTGAGGAGCTGTTGTTGTACTCGACCCACCACCGAATTCTGAGAGCTTGTCAGCTGCGCTGCTTGAAGGCCATTAGCTGGATGATGGGCTCACGTGAGATTAATAGTTGCTGAGTCAGCCCACAGGATCTCTTGAATGTGTGCAGGTGCCATTTTTGTAACGACCAAGGATGCTAACTGCCATAGCGCGCAGGCTATCATCTATTACAAGACAGCTAAACAGAATTTTTTTACTCAATACATGAGACTTCTAATAGTTGGTGATAATTTAGGACCTGTCTTGTAATAGTTATGCTGTTACCAGAACCAGGGGCCGCTTCCAGGTGAAGTTGCACCCTTTGGGAAGATAAATCGTGCGGTCATAACGGGCAGATCATTTGATGTACTCCTGTGGCTCACAATTTGGGTGGTTATGTTTTGTTGAGACACGAACAGCCATGACACCACATCCTCCGAATGGCGATGGACCCAAGCTCTGCCCCAGCCGGGGATGGCGGACAAGACTGTTTCGTACTAGCTATTTCTTCGCTGATTCATGCGTTGCTCCCTTACCCCAACATAAATATCGAGTCCCTGAGGGGAACAAAAACACATCGAGAGGCGAGGCTAAGGACTATTGGCTGTGGTGGAAATTGCCTCCCCCGATCTGAGGGCCTTGTGATGAGCCCAGCGTTGTTTCGATTACACGCCACTTGATCATTACTAGTATTGGGAAGTTCTTGCTAAACGTTTGTCGAAGATTAGAGTATGCGCGTTTGATACTTCCTCGGGTTGCTCATTGCTGCCTCCACATGGTCACGATGGGTGGTGGAAGCAATCTACCGAAAAATAACTGCAAAGTGAGACGTCGTAGGCTGGTGGGTATGACTTTTTATCTGGTTGCGACAGTTCGTGTCAGCGTGGCCAACGGCCTCCGAGACGTGCTGAGAGGTTGCGACCTTTGTGATGGATGCTTAAGCTACTTATCCTGGCAGAATTGGGTCAATTGATTATCCTCATCTTTTACTTCATAGTTTTTCTCAGCCCCATCTGTAGATAACAATTGGCGCCGTCTTATCCTTCACCGCACGACAAATGGGGATTTTTGCGCACACCTCGCAGGAGTGGGAAAAAAAAAAAGAGGCGGGGCGATCAGGTCAAGGTACGGAGTAGTTTGGTAGTAGGAGTAACCACTACCTGGGCAGTTTTGGCCGAGCCCGTCAAACGTCAACCGTCTCGTTCAACCAGTCGTTACTACGTGTGCGTACCACCAGGTCAAAGCTGCATTCATCGCTTCCCCTCCCCCACCAGACTTGGATCTCTTCACATTTCCTGCCCACTTGCTCTTTTGCCTTCCCACCAGTCACCCATATCTTGAGCAGTCAACCGATTTCAAACTTCTGCTTGCGTACTCAAAACTTTATTGCCGTTGAGGAATCAGGATTTTTAGCTGTACGTTCGTTCTCTAATTGCTCTTAACCCCACCCTTGCCATCCGGATCCGGTAGCTGTCAAGCTTTGGGCGTCAATCCCTTGTTGCTTGCCTTGGGTGTAGTTACGAGAAACTGCTTTAATGGAACGCAGCGAACTTGTTGTCACTGAAGGGCCATCTCTAACAAGTCGTGTTTTGAATAGTCATCAGTTGCCGTCTGCAATGGCTCCAGCTCGCAGCCGTTCATTTAGCATCATGGCTGCTGCTCAACAGGACCACCTTGACACGGGTGGTAGAGTCGCCTGGCTAGCTTCACTCGACACTGCTTACAGCCCCGAGCACAACTACCGTCGTTCCTCCATCATTTGCACTATTGGTCCCAAGACCAACTCCGTCGAGGCTATCAACAAGCTCCGCGATTCTGGCCTCAATGTCGTGCGCATGAACTTTTCCCATGGTTCATACGATTACCATCAGTCTGTCATTGATAATACGAGAGCTGCTGTCGCCTGTCATGCTGGCCGACCGGTTGCCATTGCCCTTGACACCAAGGGCCCAGAGATCCGTACTGGCAACACCAAGAATGACGAAGATATCCCAATCTCTGTCGGTACGGTGATGAACTTCACTACCGATGAGAAATATGCCGCCAGCTGCGACACCGAGAACATGTGAGTCCTCAAAGTCCCACTTCACATTGCATGATTTTGCCTGTCACCAAGGTCCACCACTGCGCTTCAAGGCGCTGGACATGACATGAGCTTCAAGTTAAAGACCTCTTCCTGCGATCCGTTCTTGAGCATGACTAATAATGTTGCTTTAATGTACAAACTCTGCAGGTATGTTGACTATAAGAACATTACCAAGGTTATTGAGCCTGGTCGCGTTATTTATGTAGACGATGGTGTTCTGGCTTTCGACGTTTTAAGCATAAAGGACGAAAAGACCGTTGAGGTCCGTGCCAGAAACAATGGCTTCATTTCTTCTAGGAAGGGTGTAAATCTTCCCAATACCGATGTCGATCTTCCTGCTCTGTCTGAAAAGGACAAGGCCGATTTAAAATTTGGCGTCAAGAACAAGGTGGACATGGTCTTTGCCTCCTTCATCCGCCGAGCTCAAGACATCAAAGACATTCGCGAAGTACTTGGTGAGGAGGGCAAGCAAATTCAAATCATTGCCAAGATCGAGAACCGCCAGGGCTTGAACAACTTCAGAGAGATTCTGGAAGAGACAGATGGTGTCATGGTTGCAAGAGGCGATCTTGGGATTGAGATCCCGGCTGCAGAGGTATTTGCGGCACAGAAGAAGCTGATTGCTATGTGCAACATTGCTGGAAAGCCCGTTATTTGCGCGACGCAGATGCTGGAATCCATGATCAAGAACCCCCGGCCCACTCGTGCCGAAATCAGCGATGTTGGCAATGCTATCACTGACGGAGCAGACTGCGTCATGCTGTCTGGCGAAACGGCAAAGGGAGACTATCCATGCGAGGCCGTTCGTGAAATGCATGAGGCGTGCTTGAAAGCCGAAAATTCCATCCCGTACGTTTCGCATTTCGAGGAAATGTGCACTCTCGTGCAACGCCCAGTCAAGACTGTTGAGTCTTGCGCTATGGCAGCTGTACGTGCTTCCCTTGATTTAGCTGCCGGTGGTATCATTGTGCTGTCTACTTCGGGAGAATCTGCAAGACTGCTCTCCAAGTACAGGCCAGTCTGCCCCATTTTTATGGTGACACGGAATGCCACAACTTCGCGCTTCAGTCACCTATATCGTGGAGTCTATCCATTCCTGTTCCCCGAGGCCAAGCCTGACTTTGATAAGGTCAATTGGCAGGAGGATGTTGACAAGCGTATCAAGTGGGCTGTCAATCATGCACTGGAGCTCAATGTCTTGACCCCAGGTGACACCGTGGTTGTCGTACAGGGTTGGAAGGGAGGCATGGGTAACACCAACACGCTGCGAATCGTCCGTGCCGACCCCGAGCACCTGGGAATTGGCCAGGCTTAAGAAAGAAAAGCGAAAAACAAAACTTCATGGTGAAGTATCAAGTGAAGGGGAACGGGAACGAGAACAAAATTGATAACGTGTTGGAGTTGGACGAGCCGAGGATTTTGATAGACTTTACAGTGCAATGATCCAGACTAGTGAGCCCAAAACGTCTTGAGTTTAATTTTTTTTCTTTTCTTTTTTTTTCACTTGGTACTATAGTCGTCTTCCCGTCTTCTTGATTACTTGATCATTTGCGGATGGGGAACGTTTTTCTGTGCGTCGATAGTTTATCTACCGGGAGCTCTAGTACTCTGCGCTCCTAAAGATTCTCGATCTTGAAGGTCTTTCGCAACTATTTCTCATACTTCATGAAGAACCAAGGAGCAGGGATCACGGCCATGGCTATGGATCCAAGCAAACTATTTCACCAGCTGAGCCCTAGCTCCTCGTACACATGTACGGAGTATGTACCTATGCCAGCGAGGGACAACACCGCTCCCGCATCTTTTGTTACTCGATAACCTACGTGGTGGAGCAGCGGAGCTCTGGTAGGCTTTGCAACCTTGACCTGAGCTGTTTGTCGTCGCCCCACCCAACCTCAGCTCGTGGCGGGGTGTGGCGTCACCTGGCGTCTGGAAGCTCCAGTCCCCGTTTTGTACGTGCAGAGACGGGGGACATTGGACTTGACCTTTGCATTTTATTGAACCAGGCCAAGGAAAGCTCTCGATTGCCTCGCAAGCTTTGACCCAGCTGATCCGACTTACTTTGGGATAGCACCACCAGTCAGCACCCTCCCTGCCACATCTATTACTTGTAGCCACATTTTTGAACGTCGAACTGCTCCAAGATTTTTATCTACGACAAGGAAATGCGCCTCCCCACCGAGTTGGCATGTCGCTAATACCCTACCACCCAAGGGAGGGCCGTGAGATTGTGCTGTGAGTCCGCCCGCAATTTATCCAAGCAGAGGTGAAACCGCATTGGCTTGGGTGTGCTAAAAACAACCTGCGGATATCAACCCATGGCTAACGCTGTCTCTGCACAGGCGTCATCGCAATGCTGTTGTTGTTCGGGATCCCGAGTCCCAGCGACTTGAGATCCGCGGCTCTGAATGTCCCACGTGCCATCAGCCGTTGGGTCGAGCATCGTCACCGGAAAGATCGTTCGAGCGACCATATGAAATGAATCATGAATATGTGGACCCAGAATACTTTCGCATGCTCAGAGCAGGCAATCATCTCGCGCGGGGAAACGGTCCTCCTAGTCCTGTCCGTCGACTTGTTGAACCCGCTCTGGCAACTAGATCTGCTACCCGTTCTACCTCTCCACAAGAACCTACACCAAGGCAGGATGAGTCTCAATCTCTGTCCAGTAGCCCAGGAGTGCCCAAAGCTGAAGGTAGCAGAATCCGGAAAGAAGCCTTCAGTCCGAACTACTTCAGGAGCTTTTTCGTCGAAGAACGCGTACTTGGCAAAGGAGGCAAGGGTGTTGTGCTATTGGTACGACACGAAATTGATGGATGCCCTCTTGGGCACTTTGCATGCAAGCGAGTTCCGGTTGGGGATGACCACTCGTGGCTTGAAAAGGTCTTGGTCGAAGTTGAACTCCTAGCTAAACTCTCCCACCCCAACCTCGTCTCCTATCGCCATGTATGGCTAGAGGATGTCCAACTGACTAGATTTGGACCCAGTGTTGCTTGCGCCTTTATTCTTCAGCAGTACTGTAATGGCGGTGACCTCCATCAGCATGTTGTCGGCAGTGCGCCTAGAGAGCTTACAAAGGAGGAGCTGAAGGCACAGATGAGACGACGGTCAAAAAGCCAGGCGGAAGCTCCGTCAGGTTCAACAAGGCCGCAATTGTCATTTGAAGAAATATACTCCCTGTTCAAAGACATTACGTCTGGAGTGGCCTATCTTCATAGCGCGAACTACATCCACCGGGATTTGAAGCCGAGTAACTGTCTTCTACATCGCGAGGGAGGGAAACTGACATGCCTCATCAGCGACTTTGGCGAGGTTCAACCAGAGAATGCCGTGCGTAAGTCCACCGGGTCAACTGGCACCATCTCGTACTGCGCCCCCGAAGTTCTGAGAATGGACGTCGCAGGGCAGTATGGAAACTTCACAACCAAGTCGGATGTTTTCTCACTCGGCATGATACTTTACTTCATGTGCTTTGGAAGACTACCCTACCAAGGGGCCAATGCTATACAGGAGGAGCTAGAAGATATTGACCAACTTCGAGCTGAGATAACGGACTGGCAAGGTTTCCAAGATGAGCGGCAAGAACGTCCAGACTTGCCGTCCAAGTTGTATAAGCTTCTTAAGAAGCTGCTGGCTCTTGATCCGACAGAACGCCCTAGCGCAAATGAAGTTTTGTTAGCAATGAGGAGCGAGACAAATTTCGATAACATTACCAAAGGCGACTGGGTGGCCAGTCGGGTACAGAATCTGGACTCCCCAGTGCCTCCCGGAACCCCTGTCCCAGGTAAGTTTGCCCATCACAGTAGCACCATGGGTACAGTTTCAGAGGAATATAACATTCGCTCGCTCACTTAGATCCTGAAAAGGAGAAGCCTCGTGGACGTACAGGAAGTCGAAAAGGAAATGTCGACCCAAACCCACCACATCCAAACTCCTTTGAAGCCATGGGAAGCCCTGCCCAGACATCACCGCCTAACGTCTTCGTAAATCATGATCCCCACAACCAGCACCACTTGGAGTTAAATCAAGACCAAGGCCGAAGGGGCTCCGGTATCGTGAATGGACCACAATCGTCAGATGTCGACTCGTCGGAACTAACTGCTCCACGTCTGCTAATGGCACCGCCTCGGACATGGGCAGCGGAGTTCATATACCAAATTTCGATCTTGAGTCACCGTATGTCTTCTGGGCTCGGGTTTACTACCGACTCGCTTAACTCTATCTTTCGCCTTGCGATTTTTTCCTTGAAGGTCGCCACTCTCACTCGGCCATGCTGGCCATATGTTGTAAGCTTTGAAGTGGGCACGCCCCTCATTCTTATAGCCGCTATTGAGCTGGGCTGGCCAACTTCTGCCGCCAATAATGAAGTTAATTGGGATGAAAGAAGTATTCAGCGTCGATTAAGTATTACTACAAGCGTAGCACTGTTGGGGGCTCATTTCATTACTCTTTGGGTTGCTCGTCGATGGAACATCCTTTGTACACCGCCATTGCAAGAGGAGTGGGCGGAGTGATAGGGAGAGTTCTAGAGCTATTGGTTTTTAAACATTGCTTCCTTATTTTCACTAGGCTGTTCGGGACTTATTTATTGCTTGTACACGTGTGTCGATGGCGTTTACCTGAAACACTAGTCTTTAGTATCACGGTTGTACTTTTGAAAGCAGGCCTTTTGAAAGCAGGCAAGAACACGGTTATGAGAGGCGAGCGCAACCAGTTTTCCTCGCGCCTATCAGCATGCAGTCCTATCGGCTTCGTCGGGTCTATTGTTTATTTTGTTTTGGAAAAGTGGTTTATTTCCAATGCTAGGGAGATTGGGTTTTCCTGGATATCACAACCTAGCAGAACAAATATGTTGATCTGGGCACACTTTTCTCATTTTAGTGTGGCCCTCAGCCCAAAACCTTTCCGCCTTTCCATCTCAACGGTAGCTAAACCAAGATTGTAACCCCCGGCAGTGACCTTCTTGCCTTCCGTAATACTTCCAAACCCGAAGTCTGGTTCTTCACCCAGACTGCCAAAAATGTCGCCTATGTAATTACTCGGCTCTATTCCTCGCTGGTATGTGCAATTCCAATCGGAAACGATACCCCGAACAATGCCGATGCCAACATTATACAAGTTTTCTACGGCAATCATGAACCCATTCTGATCGGTCCGCCTCAAGTGTTCCCAATCTGAAAGACCAGGTGGCGGTCGATCAAAGTTTGACCCTGCATGAATTGTTCATTAGCTATATGAGTGGTACTTTCTTACACAGCCCCGAGGTGTGTAGGAAATGACTCACCAGCTCTGACAAGTATGATTCGCGCAAAATCAACGAGACCTTCAATTGCCGCCCTGACCATTACTTCAAGTGTGGCATTCTCTTCTTGGGCACTCATGCAATATATTCCAGAGCCATTCGTCCATAGAGTCGTTGTATTCTCAAAAGCGACCGCAAGCTTAGTTCCTGAATAATAGACGTCACTGGTAGCGATGTCACATTTGACAACACTGGGCGCCTTTGTGGCCATGGTATCACGGTATCCGCCACCAGAGTACTTTGACCGATATTCCTGAGGTCCCTTTTGGTCCTTGAGACTGGAATTAGATGCCAATAAAAATGCCGCCTGCCGAAGATTTTCATTGACTTCAAAGACCTCGGTCCCATACACCACGGAAGGGTACTGAAGGGGATAGTCACGCCCATAGGAGATGTACCCAGTTGGCCAATCTTGCGGCAACGACCGGGGGTCAATCTCATATTGAAGGGCAACTTGGACTGCGTAGCGAGCAATTGCCACGCTGCCAACAGTGGCATAATGCGGATTGACACCGGCAATGCCTGCAAAGAGAAAATACGACTTCCGAAAGTCAAACTGGGTTGACAAGACCAATGCCATCATCGATGCTGCTGCGTTGATTTCTCCCTCGCCAAGTGTAAGCTGGCAGATATTTCTAGTCTCCGTGCAGAAGACACGGGGATATAGCATTGACAAGCCGGAAACAGCAGTTGACCATGCTGCGAGGTTCCCTAATTCGGACTCGTTGAATCTGGTATGCCAGACTTGTGCCTCGGGACGCCACTGTTGTAGGGACACGGAATCAGTTATCGAGTTGAGAGTCAAGACTTTTATCTTGATGAACAAACCATCGACACAACCACTACTTTTGGTGCCACCCTATTGTCGGCGCCAGCTGCTGAGACCGAGGGTTGGCATTGAGCCAACACTACTAGCTTTATTAAAAGAATAAGTTGGACTATCGTCATATTGCGAATTATCTAACAACAGCACAGTCGAATTGCTAATACGCGTTTGATAGGGCATGAGTCCTGGGTAGGTATGGGTTAAGTAGTTGGGTCACCACAGCGGCCGTTGCTTGCTTATAATATCCGCGCAGGCTAAAGATTTGTATAGAGATACTAAGTCTTTCAGAGCTCCAATCAGTACTTAATCTACGGTTCTACAAAACGAGCGTGGGGAGTGATTTCCAGGCGAGGAATGAAGCGAGGCCACAAGCTATCCAGGCGAGAACGTGCCGAGTATGTCGAACGAAGGCTACGCTAGCCTTGGAGCCAGCAAACTACCAGTTGGCATCTCAAGGCAGCCAAGTAGTGGGCCAAAATGGCCCGGGCTGTCCTGTACTACGCGAAGAGTTTCAAAGTCGCCGCAAAAAGGAGACGTTGATTTGCAAACAAGACACACGGCTTCGGCCAAGAAGATTGGGCAGGCAAAGAAATGAATATTCCCACCAGAAAACCTACTCTACCCGGCAAGACAGCACCGAGTGTCTCATAGGAGGACCAGTGGCGAGTGTGCTGCCGAGCTGTGTGTTCCAAAATACCCAGTAGATGCCGTCTCGCTTGTTTTGTCAGGTTGAGGAAATAGTGCCCCAACTATCTAGGTACCTAGTAGTTACTGAACAAGCCAAGCCAGCTCTTGGAGCACCGGTGTCTAATGTCTCGTCTTATGGTTACACTTTAATCCCACCAGACCGCACCCAAATATCTCGACTTGCTCCGCTCCAGCGAAATTGGGCGAAATTGATGGCATTCGGACATTTGGTCAAAGGATGGGGTGTTCTGTGCCAGCGAAGGCCAAGGCAGTTGAGTACTACTAAGGTAACGACTTGGGCAGACGCGTGACAGCAGGACATCAACCAGACTGGCTGCGGACTCGAAGCTTCGGTACGCTACATGAGGTTGAGGGAAACGGACGAGGATACCTGCTAGGGCAAGGAAATGGCATGAGGGTGGTTGGCACTCCGTACTAATATATACATACATACATACTCCGTAGATGCTGGCATCTTGCGGTTTGTTTGGAGACTGGTGCAAACTAGCGGATGCAACTGACGTTGAATGTTCCAGATGGCTCTTGGCAGCACAGTGAGCAACGCCTTCGACGCGAAGCATGGGTCACATATCCCTAGTACTTGTGCGTTGCGTCAATGCTTTGAAACAGAACAGTAACTACTTACTGCCTGGGCTGGCCATGTTAAACTGCTTATGGGTACTATACAATACATAGATTTAAGACTTTAGAGTTGGTTGTTGAGTTATCTGGGTCATTACGCCTCACGGTGTCGTCGACCCCGCTGTCCACGTACCCTAGTTTGCCCAGAATGACAAGAACGAGTCTGGTAAGTCAAGGCGTGCTTGGATAAGATGCATATCAGCAAGCCAAAATGCTCAAGTGGTCCCCGTGGCATCAAATCCAACGTTCAAGTCAGCGTCCATTGGCTGCTATACCCGCAGAACAAGAGTTAACCTTCTGGTCTTGTGGTAGTGTATGGGCCATCGAGCAGGGGTCGCCTTTAACGTGTTTGGCTCGTTAAACTTGCCAAGCTACTAGCTGCATGGTCTGGTTAGCACCGGACAGCGCAGTCAACAGCCTACTTAGGCCCTGATCCTATAAACCGCGGCTGATCGTCAGCCGGCTGAGGAAGATACATTACGATAGTGGGGGTTTTCCCTCGTACCGCTCCACAGGTCTGGCTGATCAGCAGCATGATAATGTGTTCAGCACGTTTTGCGGATTGCATTCAGCTCCTAGAATTAACTAAAAACTTTCTTTTACAGGCATTTACGCTGTCTCTACTAGCATAGTACATTATAAATAGAGGGTTATAAATAATATGGGTTTCGTCTATAACTTTATGTGTAAATCCCTTCTTAAAAATGGGTAAGCGCTCTATTTATGCGTGTTATGCAGTGTTTTCAGCCGGCTGACTGTCAGTCGCGGTTTATAGGATTAGGGCCTTAAGCAACGTCTGGTTATTGCTTGGTAATTCGCAACTTGGTACCATCACCCCGTTGGCTGGGACGGTGCAGCACGTGGAAGTCGTCTGCTTCGTCGACGGGATTAAATGAATTCAAATCGTGAACCAGGAAGGCAAGCATGACGCTGTCAGCTGCTAGGTAATTTGTGCAGGGAAAAACCACACACAAGACATCGGTTAAAATATCGGTTAAAATATCGGTCAAAATATCGGTCAAAATATCAGTCAAAAATATCAGTGAACACAACAGCCACGAGGGCCAAGAAGGTTGAGGTTCTATTTTTCTAGGAAGGCTCTAAAAAGCTAGTTATATAATTGTGTGGCACGTGACAAGAGGCCACGTTGCTAGCTAAATCGAGCTGCGATGTACGGTCAAATTCCTCGCTGCGATGTGCGGCCGAATTCCTCCACACAGTAACAAAAAAAAAGGTTCTATTGTTTTTTATCTTCGACGCCAGCAATATCTTATGTTTATAATACAATATAACTAAAATAAACTTTTTGTAAATCATATATTTAAATACAAAATCATATATCAATATATACTTCGTACTTATAGTTTTATTATTAAGATGGTATATTTTGAGGGTGCTGAATAAACCCACGTACAGACCTATCTTTTCTGGCGTGTCGACTCTCTCCTTCTGTGGTGTCTTTGGCAAAAGAAAGAGGTACTGATTCGATCGATTCCCCGTATAGATCAACGCGGCGGCCCATGAATTGGTCCACGAGAGAGGCTGAAAATGATGACCTCCCCCCTTCTCCACCGAGAATGCCCGAAGGGTCTTCAATCCTCTCGTGTAGCCAAACGCTTGCGTCCTTGTGGACGGTGGATCAGTCTGCCTCAGCCTTGGCACCTGCATTCCGAGCCTGGGGTGGGGGAGAGCCCGGTAGCTCGTCCATCCAGGTCAAATTGACACAGGCTAGTTCCATGTTCCCACTCACCAAGCAATCTACTCCGTACCTTTTCTACGATGTGCTCAACTTGAGCGAGCAGTGACGAAGTTCCGTCCACTTACCTTTTCTCTTTAGCCTCCGCTCCCCCATCTCACTTTGCCAACCTCCGGATGGGCTGTCAAATACTCGGCTCCGTTGATTTCCTTTTTAACCCTTGCGACTTGGTTGGAGAAACTGAAGAGCCAACCGGTATCCCTTTCCGTACCAACTACAACCACATCACCGTTACTTGGGCCAATATCTTGTGCTCCTCTCTGGACATGCCCAGCCGTTACCGTTTTCATCCCACCCCGTGAAGGCCCGAGAATCAGCGGACTTGAGTACCTCTAGACTATCCAGAGGCTACTGGTTGGCTACGACCATTTATGGATTCAATTGCCGTCAAGCCGATCCAGCGCCGTGACAACCATGGCTCGGCCCAAGACCACAATGCCAGACCTCTAGCAGAGGAGTTGCGCGAAGAGTCGCCCATACCTTCAAACAATTTCGCCTTTACTCCGTCCCAGTTGCACAAGTTGATGACGTTTCGCAGCCTCGAAGCTCTCGACTACTTCGGCGGCACTCGCGGCCTGGCCGCTGGTCTACGTACTGACATCGCTGCCGGCCTCAGCGCTGACGAGACTAACCTCGACGGATCCGTCTCTTTCGACGAGGCCGTGGCTGCCGGCAGGGAAGCGCGTTCTCCAGTACTGCAGAGCGTCCATCCGCCCTCGACACATCATGCCTACCATGCTTTACGTCTCGGAGACGGGCCCGACCCCCATTTTGCGGATCGAAAACGAATATTCGGAGCCAATCGACTTCCGCGCCGGAAACAAAAATCCTTTTTCAAACTCATGTGGATTGCCTTTAATGACAAGCTGCTCATACTCCTCACAATATCGGCCTGTATATCTTTGGCTATTGGCATCTACCAATCCGTAAGTGCCGAGGAGGGAATGTCCAACATTGAGTGGGTTGATGGCGTAACTGTTGTTATTGCCATTGTTATTATCGTTCTTGCAAGTGCTGCCAATGACTGGCAAAAGAATCACAAGTTCGAAAAGTTGAATGAACGCAAAAAACATCGAGAAGTAACTGTCTTCAGATCCGGGAGAGCGCAACTCATATCTATACAGGAAGTCAATGTCGGAGATGTGATGCATATTGAAGCGGGCGAAGTCGTTGCTGTTGATGGCGTTCTTTTGCAGGCTTCCGGTCTCCATATAAACGAGTCCTCCATCTCTGGTGAATCTGGCATGGTACACAAGACTGTCCCTGGCGACCACGATGCCTCCCATGCCGTACTTGCCGATCCCTTCATCCTGAGCGGAACTACCGTCACCCGGGGCGTAGGACGCTACCTAGTCACCTCCGTTGGCTCCAACTCCACCTATGGCCGTACTCTCATGTCCCTGCGTGAAGATGTAGAGGAGACGCCATTGCAAGCCAAACTGGGCCGACTAGGTAAGCAACTTATTGTGTTTGGAGCCGTTGTTGGTGCCATCTTCTTCGTCATTTTGTTCATCCGGTACTTGGTTCTACTGAAATGGATGGCAAGCAAAGGGCCGTCCAACAAGGCAGAGGCATTCTTCCACATTCTCATTTTGTCTATAACTGTCGTCATCATAACCGTACCCGAGGGCCTGGCATTGAATGTCACTGTTGCACTTGCGTTTGCTACCACACGCATGCTTCGTGACAATAATTTGGTTCGACTCATTCGTTCGTGCGAAGTAATGGGCAATGCTACTTGCGTCTGTTCCGATAAGACCGGCACTCTTACGCAGAACAAAATGACAGTCGTCGCTGGTCGCATTGGTCTTGACGGTACTTTCGATGACATGGACTCTCCAGTTGTGGGAGTTGGGCAGCCTCAACCGGGATCTGCTGTAGTTGGGAATGAAGGATCGACGAAGCTCGTTTCTGCCATGTCATATGAAGTTAAGGACCTTATCAAAGACAGCATTGCGCTGAATTCAACTGCGTTCGAAGGCGATGACTCCAAAGTCTCCGAGTATTTCGGCTCCAGCACCGAAACTGCACTACTCAAATTCAGCCGGGACCATCTGGGATTGGGGCTTTTGACAACCGAGAGAGCCAACAATCCGGTTCTCACCATGCTGCCGTTTGAGTCCTCCCGAAAGTGGATGGCAGTGCTCATCCGGCTTCCCAATGGAAGGTATAGATTACTAGTCAAGGGTGCCGCTGAAATCGTGTTTGAGTATTGCGCTTATATTTTGGAGGACCATACATATCAACTCACAGCCGCCCGCCTATCCGAAGATGACAGAAGTGGGTTCCGGGCAACAATTCAAGACTATGCAGGCAGTATGCTGCGCCCAGTAGCTATCGCGTACAAAGATTTTGATGAATCGGAAGTTTTCGAAAGCCCTGATGATGACCCTGCTACCATTAACCTTGAGTGGCTTGCCTCAGGACTGATATTCATTGGCTTTTTTGGCATCCGCGATCCTCTGCGTGAAGAGGTCATCGATTCGGTCAAGAAATGCCAAGACGCCGGAGTGTTTGTTCGCATGGTTACTGGCGATAACTTCCTGACGGCCAAGGCTGTTGCTGCCGAGTGCGGCATCTACTCAGGCGGAGGGATTGCGATGGATGGACCAACTTTCCGAAAGCTTTCCGAGGCCCAGCTGGATGAGGTGATTCCACGTCTTCAAGTTTTGGCTAGATCGAGTCCAGAAGACAAGCTTCTCCTTGTAACCCGTCTGCGAGCAATGAAGGAGACTGTTGCTGTGACAGGGGATGGCACCAACGATGCCCTTGCTCTCAAAGCCGCAGATGTTGGTTTTGCAATGGGAATTCAGGGCACCGAGGTTGCCAAGGAGGCAGCTTCTATCATTCTCCTTGATGATAACTTTGCTTCCATTGTGAAATCTCTGAGCTGGGGTCGCACAATTAATGATGCCGTCAAAAAATTTTGTCAAGTAAGTGACGGCCGTATCTCGCAGCGAAGATGGTGTGCTCCTTACACTTTTCTCGCACATGAACTAACAGAACAATTAATACAGTTTCAATTCACAATTAACATCACAGCTGGTACTCTCACCATTATTTCGAAGCTCGTCGGTGACTCCATCTTCACAGTGGTTCAGCTGCTCTGGATCAACTTGATTATGGACATCTTTGCATCCTTGGGTCTTGCTACTGATCTCCCCTCGCCTGACTTTCTTAAGCGCAAGCCAGAACCCCGAAATGCCCCAATTATCACCATCACAATGTGGAAAATGATCCTAGGGCAAGCTATCTATCAGCTTGCCGTTATCTTTACAGTACACTATGCTGCCTGGGAAATATTTGATCCGCATACGCAATCGGAGATTGAAAAGTTGCAGACTCTAGTGTTCAACATATATGTCTGGATGCAGTTTTTCAATCAACATAATTGCCGAAGGGTGGATAACAAGTTGGATATCTGGTACCAAGGAGTGCTGCGCAATCCTTGGTTCATTGGTGTCCAAGTTCTCACTCTGGTAGGCCAGTTTGTCATCATCTTCAAAGGCGGAGAGGCTTTTGACACTGTGCCACTGACAGGAGCGCAGTGGGGATGGAGTATGCTTTTTGGAATACTTACCCTTCCCCTCGGTGCGTTGATCCGCCAGGTGCCAGACAGATACGTCGCCTCGTTTTTTCAGAGAGTCGGTCACTTCCTTCGATGGATCACCAAGCCATTCAACGGATGGTGCTCTTGTCTCTCTATTTTACACATTCGCAGCCGTGAAAAGCTGAATCAGGATTCTCGGGAGATGACCCCTTCCACCAAGGGTGGGAAGACTGGTGGTGAAGACATAGCAGCCTCTAAGCGACCCATAAGTGGATCAACGCACAGTGAAGCGTCTAGTCACAGAAGGCACGCATCGGGCGCGGTCGCTGAAAGCTCCAGCGAGGTTGATGAAGATGTAGACCTCCAAGTATTAGTCGAGGCTGCGAGGTTGGGTCGTTCTCTTGGCAAGAATGTCTTGGAACTCCATCCCAAGACACTGGAAGATGACCCGATTATCCGAAAGAGAAGCAATCTCAGCCTTCCGCCGAGTCAAGACCCGGCAATTATGCAATTCATGTATAGAACTCATGACGAAGAATCTGCTCGTGTGCCCCGAAGAAGACAACGAGCAAGAGCCGTTTGGGTTGAACCGACTCGACCCAGGCCAGTTACAACGCCACAAAAGCGCGGGTTGACATGGGAGAGTTTTCTGCGATCTAAGCGGAGATGAGAGGATATACTTTGAAGCAGAAGGGGAGATAGATTTCTTTTTTTATATACTCATTGGCCAGAATAGGTATATGGAGAAGAGGCATTTGCAAGGTTACAAAAAATTTGTATACATCATTTTTGTCACGATGACATGACATCTATATAGTACTCATAGAGACTCTTAATGCTACAGATATGCGATCTGGCCGGCTCTGGCCGCATCAAAGACATGAATAATGTAAATCATTTAGCTAGTATTCCATTCAACCTTGTATAGCTCTTCCTTGCACATTCACAATAATTAAAACGTCCTGGTACATATCATTCTGCACCATAATGAACAAGTCGCCTCAGGGGGCCGCGATTTGCCACCAATGAAGTGTACGTCCCCTGGTCAACCTTGGTACCAGCGTCGAGAAGTACGACCTCGTCCACAACCTGCATCATTTTCACACAATGAGTAGCCACGACGACGGCCATGCCGCGGGTCTTCCCTTGCGACGATCGGATAAGGGTCAATATCGCTGAACGGACTGTGGCTGCGCTGTCCGCATCTAGCGAACTTGTCGGTTCATCCAGAATAAGAAGTTTTGGCCTTCTTGCCAGGGCACGCGCTATGTTCACCAGTTGAGATTGACCCCCTGATAGTGTTTGGCCTCCATCGCCGACGACGGTTTCGTACGCATTTGGAAGAGAAATGATGAACTCATGTATCCCTGCTGCTTTGGCAGCTTGGATAACCGACTCTAAAAGAGACTGCGAGGATGCCGACTGAATCCCGTAGGCAATGTTTTCGGCAATAGTGGCTGGAAAAAGAAAGGGTTTTTGCGGGACGTACGCCATTGTTGAACGGAGGCATTCCATGTCGATGTTGGGTAGGGGCACATTGCCAAAACTCAGCCCGAATCTGTCAACCTCTGCTTCATTCTGTGACAACTGATTTGGAGTGTTGATTCCGAGAAGAAGCGATAATGCTGTAGACTTTCCACTTCCAGACGCGCCTACTATTGCCAGAGACTGGCCTGGATTGATGTCAAGGGATAGGCCATTCAAAATTTTAGGAGAAGACTGGTCAGGCGTGAAGTCTACATTACACATCTGAATTGGGAGCGGGGAAGAAGGCTGATTCGGCAAGTATCGCAGCGGCTGAGTAGCGTCGGGTAACTGAACATACTCCAAGAAATCTGGGGCTGCTTGTTTGGACGCTGTAAGTTCGGGAAGGCCATTTAGAAGCTCAAATGTCGTGCCAATGCAAAACAACAAGAGGTTGATGACTTGAAGAATTTCACCCACGCTGGTTCTCGAGTCTGTTGCTACAATCAAGGTGCCATAATAAAAGACCAAAGCAGTGAGGGGCATAATGGCGGACTGGTAAAGACCAAATAAAGGACCTGTATAAAGCGATTTCTCAAGGCCAACACGGAGAGCTTGGTCTGCCGCTGAAGCTTGTTTGCCACTAAAATAAGACTCCAGTGCAAAGACTCGAACGAATTCGAAGTTGAGAAGTGCTTCTTTCAGAATGGAAGAAGAATTTGTGGCCGCGTCATTACATCTCTGCTCCCATGTGGAACTGACGACGGAATAGGCCTCCACGGCAATAATGATCAATGGTAAAGGGGATAGTGTGACCAATGTCAATTTCCAACATGTTGTCATAGCCCAAATGATCGATATGGATGTCAGTGCGAGAACAATGATTGCAGCAGGAATGACCTTGCCCGCGATACTGCGCATCTCTTGGGCGTTCCGGTCGAGACATTGACTGAGCTGTGCAGATGATATCTGAGTTCTTTGGAACCATGACCTTGGCTGCCCCAGGACATTCCTGAATGCTCGCTTTCTGAGGTTATCAACCCACGTCTGGGAAAGTTTTTCAAACAGGTAATGTGCCCCTCCTGTAGAGAGTCCGTCGATGACGGCAACTCCGACAAGATATAAAGCCCACCTCGCTCCTTCTTCTTTGCCTGTCTTGGTCCACATTGCACTAAGAAGTCGAGAAAGACAGTAAGAGAAGGCAGGTGTTGCGGCAGAAGTAACTAGACAGAGAAGGATGGCAAAAATGAGCGTCACACGGTCTCGGTTTGCGATGGAGGGCCATATCGTGCTAACAATGCCCAGCAAGGATGCGACTCGGCGATTAAGCGGACCGAAATTCTTCTCTGATACTTCATATATAGCCGACATGCTATCGTACTGGCTTTCTTTTTTCGTGTAGGTAGATTCTAAATCATCATCCTCGATATTCTGTCTTGTGACACTCTTATCTGTTAGTGTCTGCTTATCTTTTAACCCAAAGAGCCAGTCTTGGTGTAAGAGTTCCCCATTTGCGGCTGGTGTTTCGAAATGGCGATCTAGGTAGTTCGAAAACTGCTGCTTTGTCCCTTCGCAATCGGAAGGCAGTTGCCAACACAAGGATGGCGGTCGTGTCACACTTCTGCGGCAATCGGCTCGGGAAGTTCTTCTATCATGGCAGCTGTCTGTTTTTGCTGATAATATTAGGGAGGACATGTTTTGCGGCGAGACAGTGGGCAACTGGCTGTAGTATATATGGCATGATTGACTTGTTTGTTGCGTCTTAGTTGAATCTGAAGCCAAGCTATCCCGCGAGCCGTGGTGATTTGATGGTCCCTCGCTCTCCGAGTTACAGAAGGCCGTCGCGACATCCCGTAGCTCTCGCATTTTCCCCTGGCGAAATACAGAGCCATTTTTCAAAATGTAAACGAAGTCTTGATCTTCAATGTTTGACAAATCATGGGTAACAACGATGGTGGTTTTCTCCCGTCGCCACCTTCTAATGGCCGTCATGAATTCGGATTTACTGATAGGATCCAAGGCACTAGTGGGCTCGTCCATAATCAAGACTGCCGGGTCTCGTAACCACGCCCTTGCCAGAGCAAGTTTCTGTCTCTGGCCACCACTGAGTATATGGCCATCAGACGAAATCACTGTAGATAATCCGAAAGGCAAGTTCAGTATAAGGGATCGTAACCCCGCAAATTCACATGCTTGGAAGACATCAGACTCAGTGACCTTTGATGGATATGTATGTCCAAGTGCCACATTGTTGAAGAATGTGTCATGAATGACAGGACCGGTCTGCTGTAGTAAAGCGATTTGCCTTCGGAGACAAGCCTGACATAGCTGATCAACAGGACAGCCATCAAACAATACTTTCCCACTAGCAGGTGTAAGAAGATTGGCGAGTAAGGCACAGACTGTACTTTTGCCTGAACCAGTGTCACCAATCAAAAAAGTCATATTCTTTGCTGGGAAGTGCAATGATGCTTCTGTCAAACAGTTGTTGTCAGGGTTTGATTCGTAGGCAAAGTTTACCTATACGAAGTATTAGCCCAAGCGCCATTTCACACCATTCGAAAGACGCCCGCGCACACGCTTACCTTTTCTAACCGAACGTCGCCAATAAATTCCTGATGATTTTTGGCAGAAGGCGCCTCAAAGCTTCCCTCGGATTTGGCAAGGTCTGATAGGAAGTAAACTGCGCCTTTGCCTTTGAGCAAGACAAGCCAGTGACCAACAAGAGCTTCAATACCTTGGAATGCTGTAAGAATTGCATAAAACGTTGTTACAACGTTTCCGGGCGACATTCCCTTTTCAACCAAGACGAGGCCATACCAGAAGCCCAGAACAAAAACTGAGATTGACCAGAAGGCAATGTAGCCCGTTTGAATTGAGTTGCAACGAACTTGAATCAAGAAGTGTCGAGCAGCACTCTTGAGCGCCAAGGCGTATTTGGATACTTCCCGGTCGTGACCAGCATATATCGTGACAAGATCGATTCCGTTGACGGCAGCGGCGGCGGAAGTGGACGCCTTTTGTAAGTGTTGCTTCTGTAGCCGTATTTCGGCATCCACATTACGCGTGACGATGCAAAGAATGATGAAAGACACTGGTAAAGTTCAAGAGAACCAAGGCTAGCTTCCAAGAGTAGTATAGAGCAGTACCAAGTGAAGCACATGATGTAATAATGTCACTGACGACGAATCCGAGCACCTGAGATGTTGCCAACTGAAAATCACGAATTTGCCTAGCAATAGACACGTCAATCGATACGGAAATGGGACTGGACTGTGTTGATACGAATGAGAGCCATCTTACGTGTGTAATCGAATGTGAAGTCCCTCAATACCATCATTCAGTGCCGCAAACCACTCTGGCCTCTGGGACAAAAGACTGGTGAAGGCACGCTTGCGAGCCTCGCGCGCTTGCAATTCACCGAAGACAATCCAAAGACCGAGGAATAAGCTGTTTGCCATCCAACTTCCGATCCCCAGGCCAACAAGCACAAGGCACCAAGTCGAGACATCAGCAAGAGCGATCTGTCCTGTGCGTGCTCCTTGGCCAAGCTGCGAAATGATGTCAAAGATTCGACCCAGGACTACCGAAAGGAGTGTCCTTAAAGCTGCAACCAAAGCTGCTGCGCCGAGGGCCGCAGATAAAACCCCAATATGCTGTTTCCGAGTGAAGAAAAGGAGTCGTTTCCAGGAATACCCAGTCATGCTGCTGACATTGGAGTTTGGGCAGACTTGAAGCGAATCCAATGAAGGCTCGCTCTTGGTTCCAGACATTGGATTTGACGGCTCCATAGTGAAAGCATCGTGTAGTAGGGACTGAAATCGGTAATGCAATAAATATGACAAGAAAAAGAACAAGAATATACCAAGAGGGCAAGCTGAGAACTAGCGTCAAGGCACAAGCTGCGAAAACAAAGATGATGAGTGAGACAATAACTCTCTTTACACGGTACGTACAATGGCACGAACCCCCGACTTCCAGAGACGCATTGACTTGCTACTAGAGGGGAATATGGAAGTTGATTGTCACGAACCCATTGTCCCACAAGAGTTGCATAGTATTGTTCAGCGCATCGCGGCCCTTGCGACGGGCCAAAGCAACAGCGAGAGCAGTGACAGTGCGATGCATGACAAAGAGTTTTGTTAGCAAACTATATGTTTATATTTAAACGACTATGAGATAAGAACTCCCTGATTGATGCATCGTTGCCGGAAAGGTCGTGCCGGGTTGACCATTTTAATGTGAGCCGGTGCGTGTGGTCTCTAAAAAACGTAAGCGATAGAAGACAATGCAAAGACCGCTGACTACGTCTTTGAGCCGAGTATTTGCATTACTAAATAGAAGAAAACATGCCGGCTACCCGTTTTTATAAGAGAGCTACCTCGCTAGGGAAGATCTTGGGCTTGTACGTAACCAATAACCACAAGGTCACAGTGCCTCCTCACAGTGCTAAGAGTCCGCTGACACAGTGACAAACGGTCAACTGATGTCATGGGCCAAGAGCTTCCTAGGCCCATCGAGAAGCAAACACAATGCCCCTCCAAGAAAAGTTCCACTGTTTGACCCCACGTTGGATTTTGTTCAAGACTAGACAACTTTGACTTGCTGCACAACCGCCACTACTTACAGGTTTATGCAACATTAACCACAACAACAAAGAATAGACATCAATTCTCGTCGTCATAATGGATCCCATGGAGAGCATGTCAGTTTCCGGGGGCCGCGTACCGGCCAACTTCAACGCGGAGGATGCCGGAAATATGGAGGATGTGCGTCAACGCAACACACCCCAGCTGTTAACCAACCATGTCAATTCGAGGATCAGGCTCGCTGACCGTATACCCCCCCCCCCCACCACCCCCGCCACTACTTACAGGTTTATGCAACATTAACCACAACAACAAAGAATAGACATCAATTCTCGTCGTCATAATGGATCCCATGGAGAGCATGTCAGTTTCCGGGGGCCGCGTACCGGCCAACTTCAACGCGGAGGATGCCGGAAATATGGAGGATGTGCGTCAACGCAACACACCCCAGCTGTTAACCAACCATGTCAATTCGAGGATCAGGCTCGCTGACCGTATAGCTATATGTACCTATAGATGGAGAAGCAATTTGCCGTCAAAGGTATGCATGCGCGAATCTCCTTGTTTAAGAGCTGTAGCCGTCGCTAACCCTCACCCTTGCAGTTGTCCAGCACATGCAAACCTATTGGTCTATCCTAGAGAAGGTCAAGGGCTCGACTCTGCGATTAACAAAGATGGACGATGAAATCTATGACCACCTCAAAGAAGCATTCCCCGAATTCGACCCTGCCGCAACCGTCGACGAGGATGAGATGAAAAGCAAAGAGGGCAAGGAACGCTGGAGGAACTTCATGATGGCATACGAAAAAAAGGTCGACGATTACAATTTTGGAACCATGGTGCGCAATAACGCCAAGGCAGAATATGAGGAAAACACTACAATCTTTGGTGAGAATGCACCAATCATGCTCGATGAATTGAAGACAAAGCAGGGCGTTGGCTGACAGTGCTCTGTCTTTTAGTACCCCGAATGCAGTTCTATGCTATTGAGATTGCAAGGTACGTACAGAATTCTCATTTGCGCAAAGCCAACAATGACTCAGTGGCTAAGTCATTCGCGTGTAGAAACAAGAACGGCCTAAACGACTGGATTTACGAGCAGGCTCAAGGACAGAAGGCCAAATAAAAATACGAAAATGGTTTACATTGTGCCGTTCAAGAACCAGGCAAAGTTTCAAAGATAAATAAATGTAGATGTCTTGTATTGTGCCAAGTTGGACGGATTGTCCTCTTTATCTAACGGAATTATCTTACACCAGTACGGAGTAGTCTGACCAGGAATCGGCCACAGACTATTACTAAAGTTTTCCGGCTTCGGATGACTCAAGGTCGCTTCTGCCAGCAATTGGCTGCAAAAGTCTCATCCCAAGAGTAGGTCTGCCTGAAATTTAGCAACGCGCAAGCGGGAACGAATGGATACATCTGCTTACGAGCTGATACATGCGGGGAATTTGACACTTATTAATATCTGAGCAGCTAGCAGCTAGATACTTGTACCAGCTACAGGTCATAACAAAACTTCCTGGCTAAACTGTGGCCTGGCCGATGAGACGCTAGACATCATAGCGCGTGCGCATGGGACCCTTGGTCCGGCCTTGCAGACAAACTTTGGTTGACGACTTGGTCGACGTATGTCCATGTATCAATGTTACGTTTTATCACTCAAAACTTGCGTATCCTGCTTATACCAGGATCCCCTAGGCCTCCTTGTACGTATCATACGTATCATACGTCTCAGTCTCTTCTGCGGCCTGCTTCGCCGCTGAACCCGCCATCTCGTTGAGTTTCCTTGGAATGCCCCATAACTGTACTTTGACGCCCCAGGAATCCCAACGCTCAACTTCGCCGAGGAGCATCTGCCACATATCATTATTCTTCACCGTTCCAGATGACGTTCTCCATCCGTTGTGCACCCAAGTACGAGCCCATTGCGTGGCACCTTTGGCCACGTACTCAGAGTCAGTTGCGAGAACTATCGTCTTCCGTCATTCACCCTCCCAGTGTCGGAAGCGAAGCGCGGCGAGCACAGCTCATAGTTCAGCTCTGTTGCTTGTTTGACTTGATACGTCTCCAAATGGCCCTTTGTTCTCCAGTCGGGCTGACACATCCCTCCGTATCTGATGGTCAGTTGGCCCGAAGATGGAAACTCACCCTGCCTTTCGGTAGGCTTGTCCGTTGTTGAGACAGGCGCCATCAGTATAAATCAGCATTTGACGCGCATCATCTCGGCAAAGGAATCGAAGCACGTGTGGGCTAGCTCGACGGCTAACAGACGGTGGAAACAAGGCGACCTGTGCCTCTTCTGATGCTGAGCCTGTCCAGTCTTTCTCCCTGTGCCAAGTCCACTTCGTTAAGTCGTACAACAGAAAGAACACCGGCTATTGGGCGGCCGCCCGCTCATCGCATTGTTTGCATGAGACGGCTGCTCCCTGTCTTGATGCCCAGAATCGTCCTGCATCTGGAAGCTAAAGTCGACACAGCAGCAACCACAGCGCGACAGATCATTTGCCCATCGGGCAGTTGAATAACAGGTCCTCATGTGGAGGCATGCCGAGGGCTGCGAAGTGGCAGGTCCAAGAATGTGCCAGTTGACTCAAGATTCATTGATAGAGGCACTAGAAGTCGGTGCGCCGTCAAGACCGTGATGCATTGGAAAGTAAAACGTGCGACATTTGGGGAAACCTGCGAAATTTATTCAACAAACGTACGCGTTTGTTTAATGGCCAAGAAGAAAAATTTTTTAAATTAAATTAAAACCCGAAAGACCCTCCCCCGCCCGCAAGTTTACTCATTATGAAAAGGCTCTTGTTGGACCTTCATGGTCTCCTTGCCTGGAAGGGAATGAAGTCTGTTCATAAATAGCCTGCTTTGAGCGGGCAGGTTTTGAACGCTAAGATTATAGCTGGATTCAGGGGACTTTTTATCGTAAATATTAGGTCTTGGGACGGGGTTGGAAAACCAGGACATCTGAAACTCCATTCTTATGTAAAATTTAAGGAGCGGGATGGCTGTAGAATATGGTAGTCTTTGCTTTAAATTTAAACGTACAACTAACGTCAACGAATCGCGGTGTACAGGTCACTTCCGCTGCTGTATTGATGCGTAGCTAATGGATGCGGATGGTCTATTCTCAAAGGAATAGCATTAAATATATGAACCACAAAGCGGTTACTCTATAATGTTATATGAAAGCCCGTCTAGTCTCCTGTTGCGGTATCATTGCCACCTTCCTCGAACTCACACAGGGCAGAGCGATATAGGGGGTCCAGGATTCTACCAAACTCAGCCACATGGGCGAGAACAGTAAACCACAGACATGACAAGAGAGGGAAATAGAAAAGGGTGAAATACTACATGAAGAATAGCTTAGGCATTGTCTCTAGAACTTTTCGTTCGCCCCGGAAAGTAATCATCAAAAAAAAGCCAAAAATGGATAAAAATACCGAAAAAGCGGCGCTTGATGCTTAGGAAGGGATACCCACCGTTTATCATGTTTATTGTCTATTTTCTATACAACCCTGAGGTTTCCTCGACGCTGATACATGGGGCCAGAATGATGCCACCAGACAAGTAACCTGCTTCATACCACATCCTATTCTACTGGTGTTGGAGAGACTTGACGTGTGGTTAGTAAGAAGCACCGGGGAAAAGAGTATGGACCACGTGGCACTCACAGTTGCAAGTTTACTCCGTGACCGAATCCTTTGGCCAAAAAGCAGCAGGACCCAAGGGATGACAGAGAGCCCCAAGGCAATACCACCCAGCATGCCCCCTGCACCCTTGAGGCCCATATTGGTAAACATTGCCTTCACGACGAGGGGGAATATGCCACCCAAAACGTTGCGACAGAAATTCTGGGCTGCCAAGGCCGAGGATGCATAGCTCTGGTACGAGTCGGCAAGATAGTTGAACGTCGCCAGGTAGATGGAATAGATGCCCCAGATGGCAAAGCCGAGGCCTATAGCCTCTGCATATCCACTCATAGATTCGGGACACAGGAAGGCTCCGAACAAGCCGGCGGGCAGGAACAGCGCCGTGATGCAAGCAAAGTAGAGCCTCGCCTCGGGAGAGTCGGTCGGGAAACGGCTTCTCATGAAAGCCCAGAACCTCGAATCTGAATACTCAAAGTGCCCCTTGTGGACACGCCACTGCGGGTGCTTGAGCAGATGTTGCTGCAAGATGCTCACTGCTGTTGCGACCACGGCGGCGGCCATGATGGCGCCATAGACTCGGCTGGAAAGATCGAAATTGTTTTCGTACAGAAAAGGCACGACAGAAAACGACATGTAGAGAACGGCCCAAGAAAACGCCGCCCAAAGGGAAAACGAAGAGACGACGGGTTCGGTAAAAAGCATGTGGAAGGGCCGCCTCACGGACAAACTCATCATCTGCAACGCAGGAGGGCGTTGCTCGTCCTCCTTGACAACCCAGCGAATACGCAAGTGCCTTTCTTGACTGCCATGTCCCCCCTTTTGGTCCTCGTCAGAAGATGTGCACGAGGCAATGGGCAGCGGTGGCGACGAGGCCGGCATACACACGCCATAGATTCCCCTTGACTCGAGCTGCTCATACCACTGGTTTAGCTTTTTTGCTTTTCTGGTTAGCAGGACCGAGGCGCGGCTCTCCTTGAACAAGAGAACCAAGGAGACGAGAAGCACGCCATCCAGGATAACCTGATGCCAAAAAGCCCATTTCCACGCCGTTGTAGTTTGTCCGAACCGCTTTATAAAGGCGGTGGCGACCAGTGGCCCGGTTCCGGTTCCAGCCAGGACAAAGCCGCTGAAGAGGGCCATGGGCGTGTTGCGTTCCTTTTTGTGCCAGAGATCGGCGATGACGCCGCCGACGACGGAGCTAAACACAGATGCGCCGGCTCCGACAAAGAAGCGTGCGATGAGGAGCCCGGCAATGTGAGGCATGACGGCGCAGACAGCCTGAAAGACGAGGAATACTAGGCCGGCAATGATGAAGACGGGGTAGCGACCCCAAATCTCCGAGATGGGTGCCAGTGCCATGGGCGCGAAGGCGAAGCCCGCACAAAACGTGGTAATGCCAACCAAGGTGACGATGCGGGTTGTGTCAAGGTCCCGGGCGATGATAGCCGCCGGGGGTGAATAGCAACCCGCAGCGTACGAAGTGAGAAACGTGGCGATGCACGAGAGTGCTAATGAAACATTCTTTCGAGCCGGACTCCATTTGAGCGGAGACATGTACGGCTTCAGGTCAGGACAAGCCGGGTAGACGCCGACACTTTGCTGCGGCGTCGGCACAGAGGGCAAGGCCGTGTCGAAGGACAGGTAACAATATGTGATTGGGCTGGTGCCGTCAACCTTCATGTTGGTGAAACGAGCCACCGGACCCAAACCAGAAATATAGCCGTCTTCTCCGGCCAAGTCGGAAGAGCAACGGCCTCCCGCTTCGGTATTGTTGCCCAACTCCATAGCAGAGACTACGGCGCAAGAATATCACGCCGCCGGTATGCCGTGAACTAGATGGCGGCGGGAGACTGGCGATGATGGTTGAGGGGTTGATGGACCGAGACGAGGGCCAGTGGACGGTTGTTCAACGAGGCAGAGTGCAAGTTGAACTCGAAACGTCTGTTGGGCGCAGACCATGCCACCCCAAAGTGTGTACGACCGGCTCTCGACTTGGGAGTGAAGGCGTCCATCACAAGACTGGGAACATGGAGATTGGGGGGTTTGGTTTATATTGAAGGCGGCGCTAGCGGCTCGTTGTCCAAGGGAATAAGAGATCATCTTCATATTCCGCATCCAAGCCCCATGCCGAGGGCGCCAAATGCCCCGGTGCCGCTTATTCAGCCCATGAAAATTGCTGCCGCGGCGCATCGGCATGGAGCCCGGCGGTGAGGAGTGTCAAGTGGAAGGCGCCAAAACTTTGATTACCCGTCAGCGACTACTACATGAGGTAATAAGTCGACGAGCAAAGTTGGGTCTGGTGTGGAATCTTTCGGGAATAACCCTCGGGAACAAGCCTCGGGCACAACCGGCCCAGGTGGACGCGCAATGAGCCCGGCCCCTTTGACCTTGGGTACCCCATTGCCTAAGGCACTCGGGAAATCGTCAATGGTCGTGCCGACTTATGCTTATTTAACTTGAGCACTGTGAGTGATGGGAGAGTCAACACTAAAGGACATTTGGAGTCTTGACCCCTTCAATGTTGTCTTTCTACGTACCCAGGTACTTGTCAGGCACTTAGGGTAGGCATCTGGGTACGTATCTTCATTGACTTGACATAGCCGGAACGTTTAAGCGCACCAGATACCAACAGACCTTTTACTGACGACATTCATCTTGACTCTCTATCCCAAAATACCACTCTGCAACTATACTCCAGGACACAAACCCGTCCAATCGGTCGAATCCCCGCCGACTGCTTATGCTCTCTCCCCCCACCCCGAACATCTAGGCACCCTACCTACCTACCTAGTAGGCAGCCTTATTATTCCCGATTATGGCCGGTCAATCCACGAACCGCGACTCCAACAGGAGTCCCGATCCTCGGATATCACGGCAAATCTTTGACCAAGTTAAAACTGCCTTTCATATTCATGTGACGACCAGCCATCTCTCTGCTACGCTTCCTAGGTCGACTGATGTCCGAGTTGGAATTAACCCATTGTCCTCGGCCTTGATCCCTGCTGCTTGAGCTAGTACCGGCGAATCAATCCACTTGAATTTGTGCGTTGGCCATGGGCAAATACACACGCAATAGTCGATTTTTGGACATGCGACAGTCGGTGTGCCCTAATTAGTAAACCCTTGACTTTTTTTCAATTAATGCTTTTTTTACTACTAAATTTAACCATCTTAATGTTATGAACTTGAGCTCGGAGCTCTGGTTTGCAGGTTTATAATGTGGACCTCGGGATCCGCTCTGGGCTCGCATCGGATACGCGTCAGATAAGAAGCGAAATAAAGCTTGACATTATGGGAGAAAGGGGGAGAGAATCTGTCCTTCCTTTTGTCTTTAAGCTCACCATTCCTTTTCCAGCAACGCCTACGTGCAGGAGCAGGTAGGGCCAGCACATAATTTTCTTACGAGCAGGCGCTAAGGGTGTCCGATTTCTATCATTACATAATATAATAAGAGAAAAAAAAAAGAAAAGTTTAGAAAAAGTACATTATAATGTTAAGAAAAAGATATTGTGTATTATATGTTTGAAAACTAATCAGGTGTTCAGTTGCCCGTCGGCCGTTACCTCTCACATCTCGTCTCCCCAGACAGCTCAGCTGGCGCTGATTCTGCATAACCGGGTCTACAGCAACGCGAGCAAACCTCTGCACGATTCGTAAACGGGAAAACCCCCATGTGCTGAGCCGGAGCAAGCTCGGTGGATAATTCCACCGAACCAGAGTCAGCTTCTTGCTGCTGATTCTGGCCCTGCGATGCGGCGTTCCTTTGTGCTTCATCGCTGGCTGAGTTGGCCGATTCCCCGGCCACTGGTCCCCTCCCCTTCTTACTCACCATGACGACCATCGCAAGCAAAACCAAAATGGCAAAAACAACCCCAGTTGTAATTCCTGCCACGACCTTTCCGCTTGGGCCCCCATCTTTTGGCGACGGCGTGGGTGTTGTTGGCTTTGCAGTCTGCGTAGTGAGGACTACCGCCTTGAGAGTTCTTGGGGCTCCTGATCCAGCATCTGTCCCAACGGTAGTAGTGCTTGAGGGCCAACTTTCAGCAGAATCACCTGGTCGCAAAGCAGAATTCCGTAGAGCCTTGCTTTGGTCTTTGCTCCTCCATCGAATCTCGAAAGCCGGAGCCGAGAGTATGCTTCCCCCGAAAGTTGTGCGAGCATATCGTTGATCTTCCGTCATGTCATTGCATTCATAGCCTCTACCCGTGAAATTCTTGTTAGCTCAACAAGGAACATGCTCCGTGTCAGGCGAGGATTATCTTACAATGGAATACATCTCACTGCAGTCTCTCCCGGCTGTATCGGCCACCCGCCCTGCTGTTCTGTTACCTGCGTGCATTGTGGATGATATCCTTCGAAACACTGACCGGGGGAATAGAAACCCCCTTCTTCCCACAGAGCCAGCCCGCCAGGAACTCGACAATGCGAAAAGTCCCGTGGCAAGATTGGCGCCGGGCAAGGAATCGCCTTTGTGGTCATCGGCATATATCTCACCACTTTGGTTTCGCTTGAAAGCGTTTTTGTACTCATGATGGAAAATGGAAAGTCCTTGCACTTGACATCTCGGGAGCCGACGATTCGATTCTAGGATGGCGGAGGATATAAGAGCAAACTGCCGCCAGAACTTGAGAATGGGGCTTCACTCACGGCTCCTACGTGCGACAGTCACCAGCTCGAACCGCGATTCAGCTTGACACCCTACAGTCTGTCACTCCAAGATTATAGAGGAACTGAAGAGATTACGGAACTCGTAGCTCAAGACCACTGGGGCTTCCATGACCAAATTTGTCCAGTCTCGCTAGAAGAGAGTAGCTATAGCGGGTTTTGATCGAGAGGAAAGTACATCCACGCGCAAGAACGATAGTGCAGACAAAGGTCCCGTCTAAACTATTAAAGAAGACACGGTTTAAAAGTACATGTACCCGTTGGCTCCCAAAACTATGACATGCATCCCCTCAAGAAACAGAATTGTACACCGTCGTGCCCTCGAACCATTAGCTATGAGGAATAAGATGAACCCCCACCCCACCAAACATCATAAATACTCTAATTAATTAAAAAAAAAAGAAAAGGAAAAAAGAATAAGGAAAATATACTTAATCGACATCATCTGGACTTGTTTCCCCAACCCCGCCATCGGGCGCTGGCTCCTCCTTGGCTTGTTGTAAAACCTGCGCCTCGTCATGCTTTTCGTGTCTATATTCATTTTCACTATTACTTGCCCTTTCTGCGACTCGATCAGCGGCACCTTCTTTAAGCGTGCCATCCTCGTTCACGTCTTCCCGAAGATAGATGGTAAATACGACGACTAGGTATGCCTCTGCTGTTTGCTTGTTTCGCAGTACGTATCTAAGTTCGTGTGAGCGCCTAGAAGTGCATGTTAAACCAACACAAGATCAATAACACAGTACCAAAAAAAAAAACGAGCAAACAAACAGACAAACGGAGTTACAAAGTAACCCACGGCGTTTCACGGGCGGAAATGCAACAACCAAGTAGCGCAGGGTGGGTGACGCCGAGTCACATTTCTTACCTTAGACCCTGGCCATCCCAGTACTTGACGATAGGCAGCTGGAAGCCAGGCAGGTTTAGAGCCAAGTTGGTGAAATCGAGGTAGGGATTGAAAAAGTCTAAGCCATATGATTTTCCATACTCAAAGACCCATTTGCTTTTGCTGTCATCCTTCAACGCCCACTTCATACGAGCCTTGCTGTCCGCGGGAGCGCCAAAGGCCTGACGGGCCTCCATCCCTTCCTCATCGCCGCCCTCTTCGAACCACAGGCCACCTTTCTCCTCTACATACTCCCCAGGACCGAGATGAATGGAGTTGAAAGAGCTCAAGGCAGGGCCATACAAGTAGGGTCTATCAGCGTAGGCGTCCCCATCCAAACCGGGGTCGATCCACCACCGAACAATTCCCATGGCGGTGTTGAAGCCGGGGGGTAACTTGTCTCGAATTGGGCGATCAAAGTCATTGCCGAACTGGAGGTCGTGGCCGCTGATGCCCTCTCGTTTCGGCCCCGAGCTGGCGTCGCTATCGTCGCTCCCGGTACTATCATCATCACTTCTTGCAGAAGCTCCGGCGGCAGCGGGCTTTAGGGGCCTAAATCTAAAGGAGATGCTGTACTGGTCGTTGTTCTTTGCGTGCGGCTCCGTCTCAAAGTAGGGCGATGTGGCGGGCGACCCCAAGGGCAAACCGCCATAGTCTCGAATCCTGATATTCAGCTCAACATGTGCACTGTCACTCTGGATTCGGATTGGCTCGGGCTGATTCACCGGCACCTCGACGTGGGTGGCGGCATCGTAGCTTGGGCCTGCCGTTACACGTAGAATATATCTGTCGGCCATGGGCTGATTGCTATGTGGGCGAGGTTTGCTTTGGGAAGAGACAAATTTCCTGACACGAGAGGAGAATTGCCGCCTTCGACTGAGCAGCGAATCTATCTGGGGGGATGCTTGAGAATTGTTGGATTGCATGACGTCGACCAACGCAGGACGGCAACATGAAGCTTGCTTGGCTGCTATTGGACCGTTGACCGTAACGGAGGCTCCGGTGCTGGTGCTGGTGCTAGCTGCCTAGCAGTATTCGGCTTACTGGCAATGGCCGTGGGGCGACATGGAATTCGATGGCCGTTTAACGCAGCGCGCTGACGAATTGATATTCAGACAGACGGCGCAGTATTGTTGACTCAATTGCAGGACGTATGGTGATGTATAGGATTGTGGTTTCTTTGCTTTTTGGGAAAAGAAATAAAATAAAAAGGATTGGCTATTTCACCCGGCTCAAACTGGCGTTTTGAATATACGCAACGTGTTAGCGCCGCCGAAACACGGTGCCATCAGTCTGACTCGTTCTGGCACAATTGACAATATCAGGACATCTGGTCCATGTCGCAAGGGTCAGTCAGTCAATGCTCCCTTTCCCCTCTGCCCGTGCCGATGGGCTGCCCAGAGAGTCTCCGCACCGCCCTCAGGGAGCCTCCCCATCAGACATGACGCAAACACCAAAAACAGCCACCACCCAAGAAACTGGAATCTTGAGCTCTTGGTGCCTCCCTGCTGGCGCCATCGAAAGACCAAAAGAGCTAGTCGAGATATGAGCACATCAGCCTGATGCCCAATATCTAGCGACCATGACGGCTAATGACCGGGGGCATCTCTCCAAATACAAGTAACCTTTCCCAAGGCTTCTATGGTAGGTAGTTATGTGGGAGTAAATTTACCAATGCAACGGCAGCACAAAATCATCCCCAGTCGGATTTCCAGCGCTGGGGTTGAATGAGCGGTTTTACAGTACACGGACAGACCAAATCAAATCACAATGATAGGCACATCTTTGGGCGAGTTTCTACTTATTCGCATTTCCATACTTCTATTTCGATATCTTCCGGCTCTATACATGGTCGTTCTACTCTACAACGTTCTGAAGAGAGATTCGCCATGGCATAGCTTGGCCACCGTCATCCCGGCTTTGTTACTACTTGCAGAAACCTTGTTCTTCACCTTGATATACACACCGCACAAGCGGAGGTTGCAAAGCACGGCAATCCACCCGGCTCCTTTATCGCATACTGAACGGAGACGCTTATTCGGCAAGTGCATGGCGAACACGCCTCATCTGACCGAATACTTGCGCGGGTGGTTCCTCGGTGCCGAGTTGGACGACATTCGTCGAGACAACCTGCGCGAATTCTTCCTCTGGGCATTTTTCGATGCCCAAATGAAAAACAACGACCCGGCATCCATTGACCAGGACATCTGGAATGAGATCAACGACTATGTCACGCTGACGGAAGCACGACTCGGCCACCCCCTACGCGAGGGACGCGGGCCGGCCAAGAGTCTTCGTCTCACACTCGACGGCATCTCTACTGCTTACAGATGTCTACTATGGTATCTCATCGTCTTCCTAGTCGACCAGGCTACACACTACGTATTAGCCCGGCACGGGTTTCGCTACTACGCCAGGACATTTCACGTTGCACGGAGGACATTTCCCCCTCGCCCACAAGAGTTGTTTGCCAAACATCGCTCGACAGTACCCGAGCTGAGCTACTGGCTTCTCCCGCACACCACAAACAGCGGGAGCAAGCGATCCATTGTTTTCTGGCACGGAATCGGCATAGGACTGTGGACGTACGTGTGGTTCATCATACAGTTGCGTTCCTCCCGCGCTTCGAACCATGACACGGGCATCATTGTGCCAGAGATGCTTCCCATTTCCTTTCGACTTACGGACCGGCCTCCTCGAAAAGACCAACTATTGAGCATGGTGATCCGAATTCTGGACCACCACCAGGGCTGGGAGAGGTTCACGTTGGTGTCTCATTCATACGGGTCAGTTCCCACGACTCACATGCTGCGGTCACCGCAATTGAGGAGAAGGATCCAGTCCATCACCCTCATTGATCCCGTGACGATTCTTCTTCACCTGCCGAATGTTGCCTACAACTTCACACGACGGATGCCGCAGCGGGCAAACGAATGGCAGCTTTGGTACTTTGCCGGCACCGACTTGGGGGTAGCCCTCTCCCTCGGCAGGCATTTCTTCTGGAGAGAAAACATCACGTGGAAGGAGGATCTGGTATCGGAACATACCCGGCAGACAAGGCGACATGATCCCCAGGGCACTCAGAGCGTCGCGGTGTGCTTGTCTGGACGGGACTTGATTGTAAATACGGCAGAAGTTGCACGCTATTTAACGAGCAGGCCGGATACGATGGGCTGCCCAGCAGCCTCCGAGAACACCCAAGGCAGCAGTGAGTGTGCAGTCGACAATGTCCAAGTTGTGGTGTTTCCTCGCTTGGACCACGCCCAGGTGTTTGACCGGAGGCGTGAGCGCGAGAGAGTTGTCGAGCTTATTCAAAACCCGCATTGATTGACTTGTCAGTTGGGAACGGTATGGAAGAAGACGATGCGGCAACGGAGACGGGAGTAGATCAAGCATAGCCAGCCCTCGAATTTACCTGCCCAAGAATATGCCAGATGCACATCGACTAACTTTTATTTGCCCGGTGTGGTTTCGTCGCCTCCCCAACCGTCCAAAGTAGCACCAACTGGACGCGGCCCGCCATGTATGACGACACACACAAGATCTACTACATGGCTCCCGTTCACAACCTGATGCTCGGTCCAGGCAGGGATGAAAGCAAAGTCTCCAGCGCCCAAGTCATGTATCCTCAGCTCCGACTCAAAGCCCTCATTCACTGTCAGACGACCCGTCCCCGAGACAGTGTACATGATTGCATCTGCAGGCGTGTGCAATTTCATGTTAGTAATGGAAACTTGGCCTATGCCGACATGCCCAGGAGTCCAGGACGGCGAGCCAACGGCGGCACCGATCTTAGCTGCAAGTCTCAAGCCCAACAGGACCCAAAAAAAGGGGGGCGGGGGGGGGGGA